TCAAAGTCGCTCCAATCACGATAATCCAATCAACTTTCTAATCCTCTTCGATAGATGGTAGGTCCTCAAAGTCGCTTCGATCACGATAATTCCTATCAGATTAACGATTACCTCTGATAATCGACATCGTTATTCCTGCAAATAACGTTGTCCGATCAGTCATCATACTCATATGTCCCTGAATAATCTGATCCTTTCCGAGCATTCTAATATCCTTAGAAAAATTGATGGGTAGTAGCCTACCATGCGATGGCTCCTATAACAATCAATCATCACATGCATACATCCCTAAATGATTTGATTCCCCCAGCACTAGCCTTCCCGCAAAAGGTGTTGTTGGTTGATAATGGCCTACCAAGCGGGATGTGCCCTTATCCAAATAGTGGCCTACCATGTGATGTGTTGCTATTTCGGGTTCGTCTTTGCCCCAAGAGAAGACAAATCATGGTTCGTCTTTGCCCCAAGAGAAGATAAATTATGGTTCATCTTTGCCCCAAGAGAAGACAAGCTTCTCCTTAAGACTCCAATCGGTATACGAGTATAAACTGTTTCCTACTGTAGGGTGAATATTTAATTTCCCGAAAATAGGGAGTGTTTGTTTGTATTTATAAGAAAGCTTATTACAAACTAACGAATCAAATGATTACGACAGAAGCAGAGGGAAAGCCCTCTTTGTTTTGTGTGGGGACTTTAGGTGGCTATAGGACGCTTCGCTCGATGCTCGTGTCGAGTCTGCTTCCCTTGGACCGTTCGATCGAGGTTGCTGGAGAACTTCAGTGCGCAGTAGAAGCTCAGGGCAATAGAGTTCGATTCTGCTTAGTTCACCGGCGATCGAAGCTCGGAACTAAACAGTGATGCTGCAATGCAAAGGCTATGCAGAAAGCTTGGTCTCAACTCTTTTCCCTAAGTTTTGCGACCTCTCCTCCAGTGTGCTGGAAGGGGCTTTTAAATGGAAGAAGGACACTTGACTTCTCCTTGAATTGTGGGATGTGACCACATCCTCTTCAGAGACGTCTCGCTGTTCCTCGATACCATGAATGGTCATTCCAGGGATTGTGCTTTATGTCCTGTCACCTACGATGGGAAGGCCCATTCTCGTATATGAGGCAACGAACGACTGCTACCCGATTGGATTTGACCAGCATTAATGAACCGCATTTATGAGTTCGCAGATCGATGAAGTGCCTATCCGATCACTCGTACTGTGCGTGACCGCCCGGCGTGCTTTGAGCACGGTGCTTTCTCCTTTCCGGTCAGGAGAGGCGGTGAAGTAGGTGTGCAGTACTCGAGTGGGTCTAGCCAGCTTGCCGAGTGCCGGCGGATCCAGCTCTCGGTTCAGATAGCCGAGGTGAGTCGCATTTATGAACACTCAGGTTGACTCGACACCTGTCCAGGCCTTCGTGCTGTGCGTACTGCGAGCGGCCGTTTGACGGTCCTGGGGTACTGTGCTCTCTCCCTTCGGGTCGAGAGAGATGGGAAGGTCCATCTCAGCACGTGGGGTAGTGGATACCCAGCTGTACTGACGGTCTTGGGGTTTGCTGGCGGATTCGACTCTGGACTCGGGCAGGCGAGTTGAGTGAAAGGCGAACTTCCGCCATCCTGATCGATCTTAACTCGTGCTGGCGAACTGACCGTTAGGCGAACCTGGAACCGAGTATACTCGACGTCTACGCGGTTTAGACACTTTGAATGAAGAAATTTTCGGCGAAGTAAGCGCACTTGATTTCTTTTAGGATTTTTAGCAAATCCTCAGCTATCAACGGGTTTGATGTGCCTTTACCGATCACCGTTTGAATCGGGCTAGCCATACTATTCCCCTCAGTATGATGAGTTGTCGAACAGTTTCTCTTAGGCTTAATGCTAAGATTTCTGCTCTAACCCTTAGCCGTCTGAGGCGTGGGTTTTAACCGTTTAACCGAGGTCATTCTATTGACTTCGTTTATAATTTTACCTTTAGTGGCGAGCGAGTCGTCCAGGCAAAATTAGTCTTCGGGAGCCAAGTTTCGCGCAACTCGCGGGGTCATGCCAAGTATTTGCAGGCGAAACCCCTCCTTTTTGAGGCGAGCCCAGATCTGACGGGAGATGAGCCACGTGTCTGCTGATAGGGCTTTGTGCTTTCCAGCTAAGGCGGCGCGGTCTCATCGGGTCGTGGCGATCGTGACTCGACAACCCGGTTTTCGCGTGTTTCGCCCCGCGACGCATCGTGGCCGTGGTTTTCAAGCTCAATCGTCGGATACAACCGCCAACCTCAGTTCCTTCGATATACCGAGGGTGATCTGGGCCGTCAAATTTGATCGTGGCCACGTCTCCTGTCCGTTAGGGTTTTCGCCTTTCGAGGGCAATCGTGGCCACGTGGATAACTCCGCCCTTCTAAATCAGCCATTTTCCTCCATTGGGAGTTACCGTGCTCTCAAATCTCGAAAGGAACCTCTAAGGAAAGAATTCCCGCTTCACCCTACAATGGCTCCGAAATCTAAGAGGTGCAAAGTGAGGGGCGCGGGCCCCGGACGTTATTCCGACCGTCTCTCCGCCGGCATGCCTGCCGGTGCTCTGGAATTGCGCCCAGGTATGTTGATGGGTTCGTTGGACGATCTCTTGTAGGTCTTAGGCGTCGGATTTTAGGGAGATGAGTGTTACCCCTCATTTCCCCGATTTGGGGCAAAGTTTGCCCTATTTGCCCTTAGAGGATGATTACTGTCCCTGCAGGCGAATCCTTCAGTGGGAAGGAGGCGAACTTCCCTTTTCGCAAGGCGAGTTCGGCCCTTTCTCATTAGAGGGGAGTATAGTCTGTATGGATAGATCTTGTTCGAAATGGGTTCCCCCTTTCGATAGGCGATTTCGCCCTCCTCTGTTCGATGGGCGATTTTGCCTCTGCAGCGGATTTTGTCTCAATTGACTTTTCATTTCTTGTTGCAGCGATCTTCTCTGATGAGGCTTTCCCGGAGGGTGTGGCCATTGGCCACGCCGGGGCTACGAGTTATACGGCACCTCTCGATTTCCTTCTCTGGCTCCAGTGCCCGTATTCACCGCTGATAAGCCGCATGGTCTGGTACAAGAGAGTCACGGATGGTCATCACTTGACATTACGAAGTAGTTGAACGCACCAACGCGGCGTTGACAGATGCAGGACAGGGCAGAGCTGTTACCGAAGCCTCAATTTTTTGTTTGGCGACGCTGATGGCCGACCCTTCCGCCCTGTTGCTCAAAGAGAGCCGTGGTTGCCGTACGGTAGAGGGTTCATTATTACCTCCCCCGCATTGTCGAGGGATTTTCGATCGTCGACTGGCGGTTCCCTTCGCCATTCCCTCGACGATGACTGGATTGAACCCCTTCTCCAGGACGGGGTCACTTGTGGCGTCCTATTCACGGCTGCTACTGCTGGTATGGATGGAGAGTTCGTGCAAGCGCCTGACCGGGCCTGCGCCCTGGCTTAATGTCGGCTGAACCAGCCCGTGGGGGAGTCGATCAGCGGTGGCGGAGACCTTCGTCACGTTTCTTTCGAGTCGTGGAGCTTTCCCCCCGAGAGGACTTTAGAGCCCGGCGGGGTGGGTTGCTAATTCTGCCCATGGCAGCGACACGTGGTGGTCCAAGATTCACCGCCGACCTATGTTCTGGCCGAAACATAAGCTGACGGAACTCGAGCAACCCAGAGCTGTACGTGCCATCCGAAGGGCCACGTCGCACACGGCTTGCGGATCAACCGCTTACTGCAGTCCATAGTATCCTGGAATTGGTATTCGCGCGGAAAGCCGCACATTTTTCACGACGCCCAATGATGCAGCTTGGTAATCACCCCTTCACGAATGTACGACGTGTGCCGGGGTTGCCACCTGGGAGATTTCCCCTTACGAGGAGTAACGTCCGCCGATCAGAGGAGATCGAAAGGCTATCGAGCCATTCCCATTGCGTTGAGAACTCTGTGGGATTTGCTTCTGCCACTACCACATATGCCTCAGTACCTAGGGCGCTCGGATCATAAGGGGAAGAAGAAGAAGACTCCGGGGATCAGGCCATAAAGAATTGGCTGATATATCCTGTTCCCCGGGCATGGCGATGTCAAGGGGAAGCCCGCTCTCATACTCTACGTTAGGCGTGCGACCAGTCCTGAAGTGAGGCGAGGACAGCTAAGAAAGAGGCAACCATGACTCTGACCGAGACGAGGGTGGGTTTACGTCTGGTAACGGTCTTCCAGCTTGTTCCATCATCAAGGACGAAGTTCCTCATCTCGAGGAAGGCGCTGCTCGCGGGGTAACCTCATGCTATGGCTGAAGAGTGTGTAATCCCCACTCATTCCTTTGAGGCTCTTCCTGTGGAGGTCGTGTACCCGGCAGTTTGCCTAGCCCATGGGAAGTCTTACTCCCTGGTATCGGCGACGATAGCGTGCATTCACCGGGGACTCCGTACTCTGATGTCCCAATTCTGCCGTGTGTCGGTCCTTGATGAGGAGGACGGAGTGGTTATCAAAACTCCCAATCCTAGGGTGGGGCTACCGTACACCTACTTGATAGCGTGGTTCGTATACCACTGCGAATGTTTGATGAGCGCCCCGGCGGCGCCTCAGAGCGATAAGTTTGTCCCCTTCGTCCAGCGCTTGGAGAGGTGCTCTTGGAAATGCAAGGACATCCCTGATGCAAGGAAGACGCTCTCCCACTTCGGGCATTATAATTTTCGCCGCTTCTTCCCTTATTTCAGCGGGGGTGGGTATGGAGAATCTCTCAGGGATGCTCCGACGGCGGATCACTACATGGTCCTTACTCGCGGTGCCTTTCGCTGGTTGGTGAATATCTGACCGGGGTATCACATTCTGAGAACCGGCTCTACATGCTATCTTGAGCCATACACCCCCTGCAGGTTCGGACCGGGGTATCACATTCTGAGAACCGGCTCTACATGCTATCTTGAGCCATACACCCCCTGCAGGTTCGCCCGCCAGTTCGGGTACGATCAATTGTATGTGAGCAACACCAACCCCCACCTGCGCTTTGAAGGAGGACTGGTAGATGGCGCTCGGGGATGGTTCTGGACTCATGCTGGTGGCACCCAGGCTCATTTTGAGCTACCCGCGCGGGATCGCGATTTACACCACACGCTCTTATACTGCCACTGGTATCGGGGCGCTAGTGCTAATCCTGCCAATTTCTGGTTCCAGAACTCCTGCCTGGTGGAACGCGATCGTCCTGTCAGGGGTTCTCTCCGTTCTTCGAGGCGAAGGGGCCACCAAACTGCTAGGGAGTTGTTCTCGGAGGATCCAGCTGAGGATACCGAGGGTTCTGATGCTGGTTTGGACGAATCTGAGGCTCCCGAGGTTCGAGCTCCCGTCCGGAGTCCGACAATCGGGCAAATGGGGGCGCCGCTTCTGCCTCCGAGTAGCTCGCTTCTCTCGAAGCGCCAGCGGGAGGCAATGGCCGAGAGTCCTCGATCGGAGGCGGCTAAGAAGGTCCGTCGTGATGAGATGGCGGAAACCGTCCGAACGACGGAAGGTCAGGATGATGTTCCCCCGGTAAGCATTCCTGGAGCAGCGCCGTCTGGATCTGGAGCTGCACTGCCTGCCTTTTCTGCTGCATCGGGGGCGGTTCTGGCGACTACGAGAGACGCTTCTCCGCAATCTGGCGAGAGGCCACCGACGGGAGCTCCAGCGGCTTCTGTGTCCGCATCAGGAGGTAATTTTTCTTTTGTAATAGCGTCTTTGATCACAACGATGATCTCATACCTTTTGACATTGGTATCGGACCTATGTAGGCGCGATTGAGAAGGTGATCTCCATTCCTTCCGACGAGGAAGAGGAGGCTGGAAACGAGGAGGAGCCCCCTAGCCCAGGTAAGTGTGCGTTTTAATATTACTTTTTCTTGCGTACCCGACCATTAGTATGGTCCCTTTCGAGGGGTCTCCGTTAACCTCTTTCCGTGCATTTGTAGTTGACCCTAACCGTGAGGTCGCAGGTGAGGAGGGTGCTCACTCTTGGGCGAATCGCTCATCTGAGGAGGATGACAATGTCTCGGTTCACGAGGCATTGTCCAGCGAGGAAGATGATTTGGCTCTTGAGGACGCGTCTGGCCAAATAGGGGGATCTCCTGCTCCTGCGAAAGCGTCGTCTGGGGGTCGTTCATCGGCGCGGGGGTCTCCGCTTCAACGGGAGGCTCCTACTCTGCAGATGACCATTTCTTCGTCGGCGGCGGCCGTTGATGTTGTGACCACTGCACCGAGGGCGTCATTGGTCGCACCGGCTCCTGTGGTGCCCGTTACCACTCCTACGGTTACAGTTACAGGTGCCTCGACCGTGATTTCATCCACGGCGGAGGAGGCCGCCCTCTCTCCCTTGGAACGCTGGCGAAAAACGCAGGTGGAGCGAGCTCTGGCGAATTTCGAAGATACTTTGGCCCACTGCACCCAGCTGGTCTTGGAGGAGAATTGCCCCTTCGAAGAATTCAGGGAAGTTCTTGAACACGATGCGTCCTTCTTACGTAAGAGGCTTGGTGCCACCGCGGCGAGGCCCTATTTTCAGCATCTGAGCGAAGTGGAGGGTGCTGTCCGGCAGCTGCTCGCTCTTCGTGCGGAGAGTTCCACTCTTGTTGATCTCGCCTCCCGCGAAGTTCGAGTGGCTATGGCAGATCGTGATCGCCGCCTGAACGAGAACATGACGCTAGAGTTGAAGTTGTCAGCAGAGTCGGAGCAGGTCAAAGCCGAGGATGCACGGGTGGCCCGCGATGAAGAAACGGTCGATAGCCAGTTCTCCCGACTCTCCTTCGAAGTAGAGAGGCTGAAACAGGTTGTAGCCGAAGCACAGGCTGCCCTGGCCATTCAAGAGAAGGCTCGTGCTCACGTGGCAAAAGAGTTGGAGGCTGTTAAGTCCCGCCGGCGATTGACCACTGATTCTGTTAAGGAGAAGGATCGAGCTCTCAAGAATGTCAGGGAGACCATTCAAGACTTGGTTTCGTGCACAGAGGAAGACATTCGTCGAGAGGTCCTAAGGAGGCTGGAGCTCCGCCATGCTGAAGAAATTCGTGAGGCGGAACTGAGATTGAAATCCCTGTAATTCGTCTTTAATTTTCCACTTGTAATAGGACTTCTTTCTCATGAATGAAATTATCCCTTTTGTTTTTGGCCTACTGTCATTTGTGTGTGTGCTCCATCTTGTAATCCTGTATTAGTCAGAATTCGACCGTAGGAGAACCTCAACTGCAGAGGAACTCTTGTCAGCGGGTTTCTGTTGCAAGATTATCTCATCTGCAGGCGAATTTTGTTCGCAGGCGGGTTTGCAGGAGTTAACGGCGAACCTGGCTCTGACCGGGTTCCGCTTTCAGTGGGCCACGTGTTAATCCACGTGTACGCCGGTTAAGGAGACGTGGGCTAGCCGTTTCGCATTAAATGCGAGGTAGTGGGCCTCTTCGTCCCTCGCGCCCGATTCGGGCCGTTGTTGCAGATCGTGGTCGTGAACCGTCAGATCTTGTTCGTCCTCACCCTTCAACTGTTTTAGCCCCGAACGGTCTAATCGAATACTGAGTAACCGTCTAGGACTCGTAGGGTATTTAACGCCCCTACCCTCTATTAAGAGGATCTATAGCCTCTTCATCATCTTCTCTCATAAGCCCGAATTTCCCCCTTCTTCCTTCTCCTAATGGCACCGAAGGTGAAGAGGGTCGTTTCCAAGAAAAGGAAGGAGCCGTCTTCTTCAGGCGCTGCTGAGGCTACCGCGGCTGAAGGTACCTTCCCGCTTCGACTTTCGCGTGAGCTTAGTAGGTATTCTTCCTCTGATTCTTCCCTGTATTGTCGTTGTGTTTTACAGATCGAGGGGAAACGCCGGCTGCAGAGAAGCATGAGGCTGAGCACATCTTGATTTCGGATGACGAATCCGAAGGTTCTGAGAACTCTGCCGCTCCAGACCCTGCTCCCCAGCCGGGAGCCGAACCTTGCCTCGAAGTTCCGCCCATCACGGCGCTCGCTCCGGGCCAAAGGCCTGTTCCCTCCGAGTCCTTGTCCTGGCAGGCTCGTATCGAAGAGTTCGAGAGCGCTGTGAGACAGGCGATTTCCCTTGTCGAACTCGGCATGGGCAGTTTCGACAGCTTCAGGCAGTCCTTCTATGATCGCGTGGCTGACTTACGGCGATCGGGTGAAAATCAGCTTGCTACCCGTTGCGTGCGTGAACTCCGTCTCTTGGAGCCACACATGGTAGAGTTAGAGACCTTGCTACGGGAAGGTCCAGAAGCCACCCTGGAGTCTTGTCTGGCTCATGTCAGGCGTCAGGACGCCCTGGAGCAGGAGACCCGCTCTAAGGAAATAGCGGATTTGGAGTCTGTTACCAACTTCTGGGTCGGTCAACAACATTTGCTAGAGGAGCAAATTATTGACCTCAACCACACCATGGCTCGCCTGAGGGCCGAATTAGGACAGGCGGAGGCGAAGTGGAAGGGGCTCCAGTCTGACGTTATAAAGGTCAGTAAAAATGCTGAGGCGGAAACTCGACGCCTACAAGGCAGACGATCTCGTATCGCGGGCGAAGTCCTTTGTGCGACGACGAGTCTACTTTCGAAGCCAAACTCTGCTCCGATGAGTTTATGCAATCGGCGAAACCAGGGCGACGGCGAGTTCGCTAAGATGGTGAAACTCGGTTCCTGACGAATTCGAATTGCTGGTGGAACTCAATTGATTGACGAATTTGTTTCCAGGCGAAACTTGATCGCGGCGAGTTTCGCTTGGAAGCTGAACTCAACTGTTGGCGAGTTCATGCTGCGGGCGAAACCCGTATGGTGGTGGGCTTGTGTTGGAGACCCGACCCGATTTGCCTGGCGAGTTTGAACTGCAGGCGAAACTCGGTAGGTGGCGAGTTTATAACAGTCGGAGATCCAACTGCAGGCGAAGCTCGTGCCACGTGTCGGTCGGCGGGCCCAAGTGCTTGCCAGCCAAGACTCTGCAGGCGCATTAATGATTATTTATGGTGAAATGACCGGTCGTTTCGCCTCTCGTGCCTAATCCGATCTGTCGGTTTGGGGTCTCGAGAGTAGCCTTTAATGGCGTCGAGTTCGAAGCGTCGCAGGGCGTTCGGACTGCTCGATCGCTTGGGGCGATGAATCCCAGCTGTTGGATTTCTCGGCATATATATCCGCACGCGCCTCTCTTTTAGCAGAGTTCTTCCTGTTTTGAGAGAAATCTACCAGAAAGAGTTCCCCACGAAAAAACTTATCTCCCCATGGCTTCCTCTTCCCATCATAGTGACGCTGAGGGTGTCGGTTCTTCCGCCACCGTCGTTGACGTTGGCGCTCCGGCTGCCGTCCCTGCGATTCCAGACCCCCTGGCTCACCCCGCCTTCGTGCCCCTCCAGGAGTTGGTGGGTTCGCTCACGCGGCGATGTGAGCGGGAGCTCGAGCGAGTGGCGGGGTGGATGTACCGCCTCGAGGAGTTGTTTTACGAGGACTCCTCTGACATGCCCCCGCCCCCCTCTCTGTGCTTTCTGCTCGAACGCGAAGAGCGAGCGAAGCGGATCCAGGCGAAGGAGGCTGAGCTTCGACGTCTGCGGAAGCAGCACCGGGCTGTCTTGGACCGGATGGACGCCTATCTGGACAGAGCCTTCTTTGAGGAGGCTGGTTCTCTCCGAGGCGAGGCGAAGCTGCTTGAGCGCGGACACAAAGCTCGGAGACTTGGCAAGACCGCCAGTGAGGTGGAGAAGGCAATTCAGCTTCTTCATCAGGAGGAAGAGGCCAGCAAGGCGAACTTGGCCAAGCAGCAGCAGAGGGGGAGGGAGGAAGCGAGGATCCGATGTGCGGCGGAGCGTGCGGCGATCAAGGCCAAGATTGGCTCTTTTAGCCTACTGAAGTTCTTGTAATGCTACTGTTTAAGTCCTCTTTTTCTTTTTGTTAATTTAGTCGGTGCCTCCGGCACCACAGCTAAACTGCAGACTTGTGTAAACTTTGGCCCGTTATGGCCTTCTTTTGCTCGTTATTTTCTTTATCTGTGCCGTTTGGCCTCTGAGTTGAATTTTGACGAACCCTCGACTATCTTGCTTTTGACTTAGTCGTTTTATGCTCTTGCTTTGTCCTCTGTTGCTCACAGCGTGGGATCGGGTCAACTCCGATCTTCGCGTTGTAGCTTCCATGGAATTGAGAGGGCAGTACTTGGCTTGCGGTGGAGAACAATCGCTTGTCCCTACGGCCAACTGGAGAATTTCAACTTCAACTTGCCTCTTGGCGAGTTGTTGCCTGGGGAATCGACAGACAGGTCGTCCGCCGAATGTGACAATTGATTATGGTAGGAGTCACCGCCTGGTAGACTCTATCCATTAGTCATCCTAAAGCAATGCTAGGACATCTGGAATAGGTCAAATAGTTCAGGGACGTAGGGGTGTGACTACTGACAGAAGTAATAGCACGTCGCGTGGTTGGCCATTACTTAGGTTGCGTTATCCCTAAGGATAACGGCGCCAATCATCAGAGGTGATCATTAACTTGATGAGGTCTTGTCGCGATTGGAGCGACTATGGGGACCTACCATTCTTCGGAAGAGGATTGGTAAGTAGATTGTGTCAGAGGTTTAATGTTAACGTAACAGGGAATGTCGTGATTGGAACGACTTAGGGGACCCACCATCCTTTGGAAGAGGATTGGTAAGTAGATTTTGTCAGAGGTTTAATGTTAACTTGACAGGGAACGTCGTGATTGGAACGACTTTAGTGGATCCGCCATCTCATTGGAGGAGATAGGCGAATTGGATGCGTTTGTCGTGATATGAACGACTTTAGTGGATCCGCCATCTCATTAGAGGAGATAGGCGAATTGGATTTGTTTGTCGTGATATGAACGACTTTAGTGGATCCTCCATCTCATTGGAGGAGATAGGCGAATTGGATTCGTTTGTCGTGATATGAACGACTTTAGTGGATCCGCCATCTCATTGGAGGAGATAGGCGAATTGGATTTCAACAGGGGCTTTTGCCAGAGCGGGTAACGTAGGAACAGTTTAGCCTCTTGTACCAGTTGGAGGGTGCGAGGACCAGTTCAGACTCGTGCACTCATGGGAGTTTGCGAAGGAAAACTAGGGGTAGTACTTCTTCAGATACTTGCCGTTGATGGGCATCATGATCTTATCGCCGTTCGGTTTGACGAGGCGATAGGCGCCGTTCGAGTAGACCGTCTCTACCACGAATGGCCTTTCCCATTTGGACTGGAATTTCCCCTTCTTCTTGGAAGTGAGGATCATTGGTCTACGGACGGATAGCACGAGCTCTCCCTCTTTGAAGGCTCGGCGCTTGACTTTCTTGTCGAAACTCTTGGCCATCCGAGCTTGGTAAAACTCAATGTGCTGCTGAGCTTCCAGTCGCTTGTCGTCCAATGCTTCGAGCTCTGCGAGTCGAAGTTGGTGATTCTCCTCAGTCGTCATCCCTGTTGCTAGGGCGACGCGGAGGGATGGAATCTGAATCTCTAATGGTAATACAGCTTCACAGCCATATACCAACGAGTAAGGCGTGGTGCCAGTCGGTGTGCGAACCGTCGTACGATACGCCCATAGACTCTCACCTAGCTTTTTGTTCCAGTCGCGCTTGCTAGTGGAAGTCAGCTTGGTCAGGATCTTGATGATTGTTTTGTTGAAAGCTTCGGCCAAACCGTTCGCTGAAGGGTTGTAGGCCGTGGAAGAGAGGTTCTGTATTCGGAACTTGTCGCAGAACCTGGTGAAGGCATGGCTAACGAATTGCGTGCCATTGTCATGAATGATACGCCGGGGTACGCCGTATCGGTAGATGACATGGTGCTTGATGAATTTGATCACGTCGCTAGTCTTGACCTCTCTTAAGGGGATGGCTTCGGAAGCGATGGCCTTTCGCCGATGGTGGGGAAATTGGCCCCACTATGTCCATCCCCCATGCCTCGAAGGGCCAAGACGCCCTCGTTGGGTGCAGGTCTTCCGGAGGCTAGTGTATGTAGTTGGCATGGATTTGGCATTCGTAACATCGCTTTGCATAAGGGCATTCGTAACATCGCTTAGCATAAGCGACTGCATCAGTAACCATCCCAGGCCAGAAGTAGCCCATCCTACGTAAGCGATCCC